AACCGGACATTTAGCTCGGGCATCTCAAATCTGTCACAATGCTGCTGACTGCTCCATAGGATTCGCCTTCAAAATAATATGGCACTCCATAAAACAATGCCTTTATACCACTAAACTATAAGGTAAGTTGAGAAATCGAAGAATGAAATCATAAACAACAACACTAAGTCTCAGGATCGTGGGAAATTGCTTGAGAATAACGAATTATACATACGATGTGAAGGTCAAATAGATCGAATCCATAATCAAACTGGTATGGATCATTTACATATGCACACTGTATCATTCGAATAGCATTTTGCAAATAACAAATGCTGCAAAAATATAAAAAATAAAAGAAGTAGTCGATTAGTTACCAGAAGTAGTCGACTAGTTACCAGAAGAGAAAACGATGGAGAAGATGCACTAGTCGGAGGGGGAAGAAGAGAGGTCACAAATTTCATGCAGATGTGAAAATAAACCCTCGCATATGAGTTTCGTTCCTGCAGAGGTAAAGCCTATCAAATTCTACTGAGTAATTTTACGCCAAAATTAGCTTCTAATGAAACAGGACACTTCATTAAAAACAACGAATCGAACCTCGTTTTCTTCTTTGAGACTGGAGTGCCGGTAATGAAACTGGTATGATCTGTGTCTGCTTTGGCATCTGCAATGCATCTTGCGCAGAGGAAAGATAAATTAAGATTTACGAAACCTCACACATCTTTGAGAGATTGGAGACCAAAACCAATGCCTGCTGATCCTCCTTGCATTCGTGCGAAGAACACTGTGTGATCCGAGCAGCTTTGTTATTTTAATCAGGGCGTAACTCGGGCGGGTTGAACGGATCGGATAATCAACCCTAACTTAAGTATATAATCTTTAAGTCTAATCTTAATTCTAATCATAACTCTACTTCGGATTGGGGTGCTCAACCAGAGCATTGTCCGAGTTTAATTCAGGCGGACTCAAGTTAAATTCGGGTTAATAATTTCGGGCTGATTTCGGGTTATTTTATAGATTCAATTCTAGTAGAGCTTAAAATAGACTTGTTGTTCTAAATCTAATACATATAGTACATAATATTCACCTAAATGAACAACCAATAACTTTAACCAAGTTTTTAACGAGAGAGGTCAAGAGAACGAGAGAGACAGAGAACGATAGAACAAAAATGAAAAATCAATACTAATGATTTTTATATATATATTATTTATTTATTTATTTTTATTTTGTCGAGTTCGGGTTGAATTCGGGTTCACGATGTCTTAACCCGAGTCCAACCCAAATTGAATTCGGGTTGAAATTTTTTGACCCAAGTTCAACTCAAGTATTAAAAATTCTTCCTCAAGCCTTAGCCTTAATTTATTTGGGTTGGACTCGGGTTAAAATCGGGTTGTCCAACACAAGTTGCACCCCTAATTTTAATATGGTGTAGTCGCTTACGGCGTTTCAACTGTTGTAAATATTTGTTCAGAAAAAAAACATTTGTAAATATGCTAAAATCAGAAAGTGTATTTCAAAATAATTAAAATTTGATTATTCACTATACTCTTAACAGAAGATGTGCGAGTAACTAAAATATAATTTTACTTCAGTGATATTCTAAACAGGGCCGGCCCAATAGTTTTTTAAAAAAAAATATGGGCTTTAGGATTCAAATATTTAAACAAATTCCATAATTTTAAGTACATAATTAGTCCACAAAAAAAATTTAAATCTATTAAAATTTTAGGTCTTACAAAAAGGCCCCAAAAAATTTGAGCCCAATCAAAAAAATTATAATTTCAATAATTTGGCCCTACAATTCAATTTATAACATTAGAAATTCAAAAATAAAAAAATTTAAAAACAAATAAAATATATTCAAAAGTCAATTCATATTTGACTTTTGAATATTTACTGACCGAAAAAAAAAAACTCATATTTATTCACATCTATTCTCCATCTTTCTTAAAAAAACAAAAACAAAGTATCACATCCTCCTTCCTCACTTAAAAAAAATTAAAAATATTTTTTTTTTAAAAAATAATACTAAAAATAATAAAAATCTCATTTAATATTACCGATTTAGGTCTCAAATTACCTTAAACCGCCCCTGATTCTATATATATATATTTTTTGGAGGGAGAGGAGGATTTAAATCTTTTCTTCATAAAATAAGGAGTATCATTGAATCAAAAGTCAATTGGTAGTAATATTTTAAATATAGTGTCCCCGTAATATTATATATAAATAGTTTATAATATATTTTCTCTTTTGTCATTTTTCACCATTCGTGTCCATTTTTTGTCTTTCTCTCTCCCTCCAACATTTTCAACAAAGATACAAAATATGAGAAATAATATTTTTAAAAAATAGTTAAAATATAAAAAATTTATTGGAGTGTATATTAAAAATGTGGTTAAATAAAATAGAAAAAGTGTACTTTTGGATAGCTAAAATACTAAACTTTGGTGGAAATGCTTTAATATGTAAACCTACGAGTCTTCTTTTTTGTTTTTTATAAGCATGTTTGGATCAGTTTACACATATATCGACTAACCTCTTCACTAGCTCGATCAAAAGTAAGTCTTTCAAGTTGAAATTAAGAAATTCATGACTTGACCAAAAACAATATAAGTTTCGAATTCATAATATTTGAATTTAAAGATTGTTCTTATCTTTAGTGGAATATCTTCGGCTTAACCTGCAGATGTATTGCAATGGGTGTAAGTATGCTATTGATTAATTATACATGTGTTTGTTCATCCCTTGCCGTAATATTATCTTGAGATTCTCATCGATAACTTGGTATATCTATTATACGACCATTGACTAAAAATATGTCTATGATTAACTAATTGATAGACTCTAAAATAGTCAAAGTCAGACTCAATCGAAAAAGGATATTATGTAAACGCATTTCAAGTAATTGAAGTAAAACTTGACCTGTTGACCCCTTGGCTTTTTTTGGCGATATAAACGTATTATAGCATTTGTTGAAGGGTATTGGTCGATACAACCTAAAATAGTATCGTGAAAAATAGTATTTATCGATTTAGTAACAATAAATTGACGACTCAGGGTTAACTCCGATTGAACTGAAGACATCTCTATTAAGCCATGTGAGACACATGGTTTATAAGTAATGTGGAACGATATTCAATCGAAAATGTTGATACTAGGTTGACTCATATTAGTATTTGGCTGATACCTTGAATCATGTAGGGGCAATGTTTTACTACAACATAAAAGCAATTTCTTTCTTCAAGCTTTCAGTCTTTCAGAGGCCTTAGACTCTAACAATAGAGAGTGACAATAATCACGGCAACAAGTTAGAAAAGAAAATCATAAAAGAAACAGAAAAAGGACACAAACAATTCTACACTTTTGCTACTTATAATAGTGACAAAAATATTAAAGTAAGTTAATCTAACAATTTTTTTTTTTGCCATGGGCATACCATTAAAGCAGCTGCATAAGAATTTTTGAATACCATGAGATAGATTGTCACTACAATATAAAAAGAGAAAAATGTGAATAAGAAGCATGATATATCAACATACTAAAAATGCCAAAATATGTGAATGTAATATCAACATCTTCTTGACAATTATATCAAAATATAGCATACAACAGAAAAATAACAATAACTAACTTTTACTTACCTTGATATCAATCGAAATTATTGCAAGCTACATTATATGTAAAATTTGAATAGTGGTAGTGATATATATTGATTGTGATACAATCTTTGTAAAAAGCAAAAGAAAATAAGAATGAGATGTAGAGAGTAACAGGACTAGGACCTAAACCAACAATGGTGAACAATAACTGTATGAAATTAAATAGACAGCGAACATCCCAACAAGTTAAGAAATAAAGAAAACTATAGAGCAAACTAAAAAAGTAACACAATCTCTTTCATATTGTTGTTATCTATATCAACGACAAAGAAAACACTAAGTCAATATTTCAAAGTATTCATTTGTCATGGGCATACATTGGTGAAGAGGAAGAAGGAGAATGATAGGAATAAGAAGAAAGTGGAGTAGATGAAGAAGGTGAAGGAGATGAATAAGAAGAAAAAAGAGTAGGAGGAAGAAGAAGGAGAAGGGAGGAGAAAGAGAATGATGATGAGAAGGAGGGGGAGAAGAAGAATAAGGAGGACAATGAGAAAGAGGGGGGAGAAGAAGAATAATGAGGACAATGAGAAGGAGGAGGAGGAAAAGAGGGTGGAGAGAAGAAGAAGAAGAATAAGAATAACACTAACTCAATATTTCAAAGTACTCTTTTACGATGGACATACATTGGTGGAGAAGAAGAAGAAGGAAAATAATAGGAATGAAAAAAAAATGGAGTAGAAGAAGAAATAAAAAAATAAGTATAACATGAAAATCTATTTTGTTAATAAGTAAATGTTTAAAGTTAATAGATTTTTAAGGACAGACAATATACACTATTTAGGAAACAAATCCATAGGACTCTTTTCTCTCGTAAATAGCATCAAGTCTATTCTTTTAGGGGTTATTTGGTACGTGGATTTAGGGGAGTTTTGCAACATGAGTTGGGGACTAAATCCCCTTAAATTCATGTTTGGTAACTATGAATTTAGCCTAGGGTTTGAAATCCGGCCCAATCATGAAACCCTTGTTCATGGGTTTCATGAAACCCATAGGAGGGTTTCATATGTGAGTTTGGGAGTTCCACATTCAAATAACATATATACTCCCCATATATCCATACCCATGTTTAGATTAAATTAGTTAAGAGACATAATAATCATTTAAATACAAATATATTATCATAATAGTCATATATCCCTGTGCATACCAAACATAGGTAATATTGAATCTCATCTTTGGTCAAATTCAAATTTAGACAAGTTAATCCAAACCTCCTCTAAAAAAATATATCAAACAGGCCTTAGTGGGATCATAACGGCCCATAAATAACGTCACCATCAAGATCTAAGACATAAACAGACCACGGCAATCCATGGATCAATCGACCCCAATATCGCCCCTTTGTGGGCCAACCATCATTCTTACGTTAACCCAAAGTCATAGCCCACACACATGGTCACTCGCACCCAGTTCAAACATTCTTCTCAGAGTCGGAACTGTGTCATCCTTAATGGAGATTGTAGGGTTTTAGCGAAGCAAAAAAATTCATAAGAAATTCAAAGTTTTCAGATGTCTTCGTTGACGGCGACATCTTCATTCCTGGCGCTACAATCTTCGTCTTCTTCGTCGTCGTCTTCTTCATTAGTTAGCTTATCGTATAGAAGAAATCGATTGGGCACTTCAGTTAGCTTCCCGAGGAACAAAACGCATAGGGCGACATTCACTTTGAGAGCTCAATCTTACGATTCTTCGCAAAACAACAACGATAATAGCAACAAAAATTCTACTAATGCCGGCGATTCCAAACCTCCTAATGGCACCCTGGTACCTCCACACCCTTCTCTCTCTCTCTCAACATAGATATTGTTTTATTTATGTATTGTGAAGGAACTCCGTGTTCTTGAATTTTGTGATTATTTTATTCTTGGGCACTGGAATGGTGTGATGAACAGTTGAGTGTGTAATATGGGATGCGATTGGTACTGCTTGTGACACTCGTAAATGAAAAATATATTAAGGAGAGCTGAAATTTGGTTACTTTCTATTGCTTAAAATGCATTGGTAAGCTGTAGTTTCGAAATTTTACTTTGCTGGGTGGAAATTGTTTCCTGAACATGGAATCGATGGGCCCTAGCTTTAGTGAAAGTTAGTTATGAGATGCTTAATACTGGAAATGTCCTCCTCCAAATTGGTCTTTTATAATTAGCTTCTGCAGTTAGAGTTTAAGCATTGGTATTTACAGGACTACTTGTGATCCAAAATGTGTGGATGTGTTGTCATTGAAAGATGCAGTGAGTACTTGCATACCATAATTAGATTCAAATATATAGATAGAGAAGGAGACCGAAGAACACATCACCTATAAGAATAAATTCCTTATCAAAGATGAATTTCTCATTTCCTGATTCGAAATTAACAGCACAAGAGCAGGAGGGACATTCTGCTGGAATATGTCAAAAATGTACAGCCCGAATTCATGGAGTTGTTTGTCAAAAGGGCGCCCCAGCAGGTATTTCCTTCTTACTACTGTATGCATTTCGTGTATCTCAAAAGACTTGGTAGAGCATTGCAAATGAAACATTTATTTTTGTCTAATGGTACTACCTCTTTAGGTAGTTGATGCCATGCGCCAAACAGTTACAAATATGATTGGAACACTTCCTCCACAATTTTTTGCAGTAACAGTAACCACTGTAAGTATCCTTAATCTTCAAGCCTTGCATCTTTGAGTGGTCTTGATATATGGTTTCAGCCGATCCAGTTTTTTTTTTTTTTTTTTAAAGCATCAATTCTATCTTGATAAATTTGAAGTTTTAGTGATTGTAATTCTACCAATTTTGGAATTTCTTGGAACTTGTCCAGGTAGCTGAAAATCTTGCACAGCTCATGTACAGTGTTTTGATGACTGGCTATATGTTTAAGAATGCACAACACCGTTTGGAACTGCAACAGAGTTTGGAACAGGCTGCACTTCCTGATGCACCAGTCAAAGAGGTAGTATTATGTACTGTATTAATGTTCCTTTTGCCCCTCACCCTGCCTCCTTCATGGGGAAAAGCTGATTTTGGGATTATCACCCTCCAACAAATGTGCCCAACTTGTTTCTTCTCCTGTACTGATTGCCTATCATGTTCTTTGGGGAGGATGTTTACCACATACATTATAAGGGTAAACATTAGAAAGGATAGAGCGTGCGTAACACAGGTATAAGACATCACTAGGTCTGATTTTTCAAACCAGTTTTGTACAGTTTAGAGTCTTTAGACCCTGTTGTGAGTGGACATCATCATAAATCTAGGTCTAATAACAGCCAAGCTGGGTGTTATTCTTGTTTCTACAGGTGGACAAAGGATTGAAACCCTGGAGGACTCTGATGTTTCAGATCTTCATTTTGTTTTTCCATTCAACAAAGGGATACGATCATTTTGGTTGGGAATCCTTGTTTGATTAGTAGTAGTTATGAGTTCTTACAGGATGTTATTTAGGACAAGGCTAGGTGGTTATTCACTTTTTTCTTGGCTCCCGGGGAGGAGGGTTTGAAGTGCAATTGTTTTTTTCTCTGTCTCTAAAATTCTAGAATGTCAGTTTAACTTCTATTTGACATGCATGTGTATGCATATTAATTTTCTTGGTCTTATGACTTTACAGGATGTCCCAGATTATGCACCAGGAACACAGAAAAAAGTGACAGGCGAAGTTATTAGATGGAATAATGTTTCTGGTCCTGAGAAAATTGATGCTGTGAAATACATTGAGTTGCTTGAAGCAGAAATTGAGGAACTCAATAGTCAAGTCGGAAGCAAATCTGCCAACGGACAGAATGAGTTGTTGGAATATCTTAAATCTCTTGAGCCCCAAAATTTGAAGGTTTGATAATTGTTCATTGTTCATTGTTTTTGTGATGGTTCTGAATAATATAGGAATATATCCCGAGGTATATGCAAATAATGCAACTTAATTGATTGAATTTTATTTACTGTAAACTGGAAATTATGAATGCCAGGGCATGCAATTCTCACATAGGGAAAGCATTTCGGTTAAATTCCTATTTATTTTGCCAGTACAAGTTGAATAATCTTACCTGACTGGAATTTTGTACAAAAGACTTTCTTTTTTTTTCTAGAACCCAATTTTTATTCTAGTAAATACTATTTTAAGAAAACAAACCTAGATTGTGCCCATCATGCACTTTAATTTATAGTTTATCATTTATGTCATAATGTTATGCAGGAGTTGACGAGTAGTGCTGGAGAGGATGTTGTGCTGGCAATGAACACATTCATAAAACGTCTACTGGCAGTTACAGATCCTGGTCAAATGAAGGTGTATCATTATCTGTTCTATTTTGCTCTCCCACCTATTACTCTTAGTCCAACTGTAGAGTGAAGGTCACACCACCTAAATAGAGATGTATTCTATTTTGAAATAATTATGACGTCAGACTCATAACCATCATTTCACTGTTAACATCCTCAAGAACTTTCCAGGTCATTAACATATAAGTAATCACTTGAGTCAACTTGTTAAGTCTTTTTTTAGTATCATCTCCTTTAATAGCAGAATTGGACAATTTACTAAGCTTTTTGAGGGTTTTTTTGGGTGGTTTACAGACTAGCGTAACAGAGACAAGTGCGGCAGAACTTGCCAAGCTGCTTTATTGGCTGATGGTGGTTGGGTACAGCATCCGCAACATTGAAGTTCGCTTTGATATGGAACGAGTACTTGGCACTCCACCAAAGTTTGCAGAATTACCTCCAGGTGAGAACATTTAGGCACCATGCTGGAGTTTTTGAATCTCAGAAATGAAAAAAATTTGATGCACCAAACCGTCATTGTGGGTCTATATCTCTACGATGGTGCAATTAAATACTATGACATCTGAAGGCACTACCGAGGTATTTGGTGATAGTCATGGATGACCAACTGCTGGAAAAACTAAACAATTTTTTGATCATTTTTGGCACATTGTAATTATTATGAATTCCATTGGTACTTGGCCAGCTAATTAAAGCCGATTTTATTGATTTAACTTGTGCTGAAAGTCAACTCAATTTGAATGCAGCTTTGTGTTTCATTTATGGCCAGCTCTCAGATTTGTTTGAACTTTCCTTGATGGAAATTTCCAAATTATGAATATGCAAATAGAATAATTACTAACAGTTGAGGAACAAATGAAACAGCCTTGTAATTTTTGTTCCAATTTGTTACATAATCAAAAACGAATAAAAAGGGCATAAGTTGGCATGAATCTGATGTATGAACTCTCCTGATGTACGCCCTCTAATCTAACGTTACAACACTGCCTCTGCACTCAATCCAACCACAAAAAGGATTGTTATTCGTGGGACTGAGTCTTCACAACAAAATGGGAGATGAGAATCTGCAAATTTTGCTTCTCGGCTTCATCTACAGTTGCTATGCTTTTACTGATATAGACCAGTCTGCCAATTGGTTGCTAAATCTCCAATAAGTCAATAGGAAAAGGAGCTCCATCACGAGGTGCAAATCAAAATCTGGAACTCGAAATGGTCATCCTACTTGCCAAGCAAGGCAACACACTTGCAAGCTGATGCTATCCTTCAACAAGTAGGCACGATTCCATGGTCCAAACAACAAATTACTATATCTCGGGTGAACTGTTAACTCACTGTCAACCAGAATAAGTTATTTCACTCCAAAAGTTACCGGCCATAGTTTTTTCTAGAACCATAGCTGGTCAGAAGTCTCTTGGCCCATTGACTTTGATTGGGTAACCATGATATTGGGAACCCAACTATGGCACACCATCTTAAACTAATGAGGGCAACAGCAAGATACTCATGAGAGTCTTTAAAAAGCTCAAGTATCCGTGACTCAACTTGTGAGTCTTCAGCAAGAATGAAATCTTCCTCAAGTTCGCTTCTCTTTTCCTCCAGGGTGCCATCGTCTTCAGAAATCATTCGCATACTCAGAACCTGCAGTGCTTCCATTGCAGTGCCGACAAAACCATGGTCAAGATATGCTGAGAACACATAATTGCAGGTTGCTGGATCAGGTTGGATTTTCTCTTGGTGCATCTGCTCAACTATAAGCTCGATTATGTCAATTCTTCCCTGACAAAATCAGTTTACAGAAGCATGAGACTATCAGTAAACTCAAGCAAACAGAATATGAAACCTGTTCCAAGCCATATTATATTGTTGTTATTGATGTATAGTGACACATACGTAGATAGATCTAACTAATGCAAGCATGGGTATCATTCGCTGTATGCAAATCGTGCAACAAATTCATATTTACACGTGCTGGGAAGCAACTTTGGAAAACAGTATTTCTGTTATTTTCTTCTCTTTTTGGGCCTGCAGAAATATGACTTGCACGATCTACTTAGGCATAAATATAGCACGTTATCCCAACTCTTTAAAATGTTCCCATCCCAAATTAGTTACTAGGCCTCTTTCAGTTGGCAGAAGAAATGTCTAGAAATATTGATAAAGCTCAGGGATCAAATTGTGCATTGGGAATCAGGTCCAACCTAGTTAATGGAAGCAAATCATATACAGAAAGGGTAAGAAATCAACAAGTGGAAAAAAAGCAAAATTTATATCCTTTGTATTTGAGATAACCATAATTTATTGAGGCGTTGCATCTTTGAAACACCCTCTTTCTCACAGACACATGCATGGGTATTATTCTTACTGAGGGCCCAGCTTTTTGTCAGTAACCACCGAGACACAGATCAATATTTCATTTCTGTGCATAGTTTTGGTGAGTTCGGAAATGGAAATGTGTTGGAAATTAGATGGAAATAGAGAAAATGAAGCATTGGCCGAAGCACCTCAAAATAATTCGAAACATCTCGAAACATAGAGGTTTCAATATTCAACTATAACGTTTCTGAGATTTCATGGGAAACAAAATGAATTTTCATTCTTGCACCTAGAATTACCCATTTAACACGCTATAGGTTCCTTGTCAAAAATGAATGCTGCCAAAAAATGTCAGTTAAACACAGTAGAGGGTTTCTTATTTCTGTTTCTGTTTTAATTTGTTTTTTTACCTGAGATAGCAGTAGGATTTATTTTTTTTGCGCAGATTGATAGACTACTATTAAATACCTTCTCGCATGCTGCTTGAAGAATAGTGTTAAATAAGAATACATCAGGTCGAATCCCTTCTGAGCTTCCTTGATCCAAAAGTTCCAATGCTTCATCAAAATCTTCACAGCCCAACAAAATCTGACACCAAATAGTCTTCCTTATAAAAAGTTTGATAATCTTACTCATCAGTACCAATACAAACATGAGTCCTAAATGTAAATGCAACAATTGAAGTGCCAAGAACCAGATTAAGAAAATAAAATTAGGAAATGTGACCTAGAACTATACAAGACTTTATAGGAAGGGTAAAACAAAGATTTGTTTAATCAACCCCAAACAGCGACTTGCTCAATCTGGCTCACAAGGAGTGATAATTTTTAATCCGGATGACAAAATGACAAAGCAAAAAGTGGGTGATATTTGCATACTCAATATCACATCCTTCATTTTAACAATTACAAGTTACAAAAGGAGGCTTATAGAGTAATGTGTGGATTTAAGTCAATCAGGACATATATAAATTCACCGTTTCTGTGGAATGCATAAAAACAATTAAGGTTGCAAGTCCACCAATAAGCATACATATAAATGCACTGTTTCTGCGGGATGCATTTGAAATGAAACTGCGGAGAGATAAGAGGGCTGACATGAGTACCTTTATGAGAGTAGTGTAAGTTACTGCCCGTGGGTCGAAACCGTCACGAACCATCATGGAAACTAGGGCACAACCAGATTTGAAACAATTGATAATGCTGCAACAATCAATCATAATATTATACGTCGCAGCATCTGGTGGAATACCACAAGATTTCATGGTCTTGAATATTTCTATTGCCATATGACTCTGGAAAGCAAATTGGAAGATTATTAGCACACGACCAAAAATGATGGGATCCAAATGACAATCCACAGAATAGCTGATACAGTATTATTGACACACTCTTAGAAATACTTACTTCCTTTGCCTCGACAAGTGAATGCAACACTGTATTATATATGGGTGTTCCTAGGAAGCTGTTACTAAAAGAAAACAGGTTCTCTGCCACTTGTAAGTACTGAATCAACTCCCTTATCATCCCCTCAGCTCCAAGTGCTTTCAGCTGAAAAGAACAAAGAAGTAAAATGCCTAGTCATTGAATTGAATGTTAAGAAAATGGAGTTCCCAAAATAACTCAGGTTAGTCACACTCAGGCTGCCGATGTCAACAGTAGCACTAAATAAATTTTAAGAGGCTGCAACAGAAGCAAGTGCTCGTAAAATTTTTTTTTTGGTTAATTCCTCGATATATTCTCCTTCCTTCTTTCCAGCCGGTTGTTGCATCTCGGTGAACCACACAAGCTTATGCATAGGGATTAAAACTCGGGATATCTGGAAAAGCGTAGCCCTTTTGCAGCCCCAACCCATATGGACAAAAAGAATTTCCCAAGCCAGCCCAACACTAGGTAAGGTTGAGGCAGGCATGATATCAATTATAGACTGATCTGAGCTTCCCTAGTTTCCAAATGTTTTTCCACTTTTTGAATTCAAACATGGCATCCAGAAAATGATCACTTGTTTCATGGCATGCACATGCTGTTTGTAGCTCCAACTTTGCTCAGATGTCGTGTGTTATTGCTTGTATAAGAAAGCAGCCTACGTGATGCTCGAAGTGCAATGAATCATATAACGCTGCGCCACGACACACTTTTGGACAGTCTGGGTGACCTATCTGGTGTTCTAACTTCAATATGGCACAATCCGCTTTTGATTTAGTTCAGCACATTTAATATGGGTTCAACTGGCACACCGATTTTAGAACCGGATCCCTACGCCTAGATAAATACACATAGAGTATGCTGATTTTTCAGGCCTGGGGTTCTCAAAGAGAGAATTAGTTCTAATCCATTGTCCCAAGAGGTATGCCAACTTCCACTAAACAATGCCACCAAAGGCGGTAGTATCTTGCTGGTTCTCACAACTTCAGAGGATAGAGGTGCAGTCCAAAAATGCTTCACTAGCTGAAGTGATTATACTCAGAGATATAATTGAAAAAAAAAAAAACTCTAAAAGTGGGGTTCATATTGCAATCAAAATTCAAACTTGTTTTACTTCTAGTTTAAGCAAATGAACTGCACATAAGACAGTCACTTACCAAATTCAACATTGATAAATGACTGTGCTGAATGCCATTTTTCACCATGTCCATTTCTATAGCATTTATCCTTTTAGCAGCATCCACCTGTGACAACATGTTGCCCTCTTCATAGGGTGCATTCACATTACCAAATAAGGAAAATAGCATCTCATATGTCCTGATATCTGGCTGGAATTTCAATTGCTTCATTTTAGCAAGTATCCGGACAGCACGTTCAGGTTGATCCTGCAAAAAATTGGTACAATATAATTTGAAATCAATAGGGTGAACAATATCTTAAGTATGGAAGCTTATGATATGCTTTCTCTTTCTTGTACTTTCTTTTTTTCCTTCAATTTTCTGATCAGAGAGATGGAATAAAATATGAAAAAAAAAATCAAATTGCAGAAAAAGAGAGATAATAATCACTTAAGCCATTGTATTGCATATTATTATTTGAATTAGATCGCACAAATCCTGCTACTAGATTTAAAGCAGTGAAATGACAATTGGAAAAAAAGGGGATAATTTGTGCATAAAGTTTGAAGCATACAGGTTGGCTGTTAAGTAATTTTGACAAAGGCAAGTGGATATGAAATTTTGCTGTTGAAATATCACATTAACTCACCAGAGTGTCACATGCTTCAAGAAAAGCATTACAAGTGTAAGCAGAAGAATTTTTTGATATCTGATCGAGAAAAGCCTCAGCCAAATCCAGCTGTAAACCTCTACTGCAACTTATTGACATGGTTGCAAGAGTTGACTTGAGTGGCTTCATATTCTTCTGTTGCATTAACTTTAACTGCAGAGGGAGAGTGTGAAATGATAAGTATATAAAATCTTATGTTACTGCCTTTTCTTACTTTTTAGTATGTCCGTAGTGTGTTGCATTTCAGTGTCAAGAAGCAGAAAATTCAGCAATTATGGTGGGAGAAAAAAAATTCCAAATAAAACGCTGATCAAATTAGTGTATCTTACCACTTCCAAGCCCTCACGGAAGCCCCTCTCAGAAACAACCGTTCTTATGAAGCCATCATATGTAGAGCCAGATGGTTCCAGACCAAGATTTTGCATCTAAACCAAACAGACTACTAGAGTTTAGCAACTGATAGNGTTTTACTTCTAGTTTAAGCAAATGAACTGCACATAAGACAGTCACTTACCAAATTCAACATTGATAAATGACTGTGCTGAATGCCATTTTTCACCATGTCCATTTCTATAGCATTTATCCTTTTAGCAGCATCCACCTGTGACAACATGTTGCCCTCTTCATAGGGTGCATTCACATTACCAAATAAGGAAAATAGCATCTCATATGTCCTGATATCTGGCTGGAATTTCAATTGCTTCATTTTAGCAAGTATCCGGACAGCACGTTCAGGTTGATCCTGCAAAAAATTGGTACAATATAATTTGAAATCAATAGGGTGAACAATATCTTAAGTATGGAAGCTTATGATATGCTTTCTCTTTCTTGTACTTTCTTTTTTTCCTTCAATTTTCTGATCAGAGAGATGGAATAAAATATGAAAAAAAAAATCAAATTGCAGAAAAAGAGAGATAATAATCACTTAAGCCATTGTATTGCATATTATTATTTGAATTAGATCGCACAAATCCTGCTACTAGATTTAAAGCAGTGAAATGACAATTGGAAAAAAAGGGGATAATTTGTGCATAAAGTTTGAAGCATACAGGTTGGCTGTTAAGTAATTTTGACAAAGGCAAGTGGATATGAAATTTTGCTGTTGAAATATCACATTAACTCACCAGAGTGTCACATGCTTCAAGAAAAGCATTACAAGTGTAAGCAGAAGAATTTTTTGATATCTGATCGAGAAAAGCCTCAGCCAAATCCAGCTGTAAACCTCTACTGCAACTTATTGACATGGTTGCAAGAGTTGACTTGAGTGGCTTCATATTCTTCTGTTGCATTAACTTTAACTGCAGAGGGAGAGTGTGAAATGATAAGTATATAAAATCTTATGTTACTGCCTTTTCTTACTTTTTAGTATGTCCGTAGTGTGTTGCATTTCAGTGTCAAGAAGCAGAAAATTCAGCAATTATGGTGGGAGAAAAAAAATTCCAAATAAAACGCTGATCAAATTAGTGTATCTTACCACTTCCAAGCCCTCACGGAAGCCCCTCTCAGAAACAACCGTTCTTATGAAGCCATCATATGTAGAGCCAGATGGTTCCAGACCAAGATTTTGCATCTAAACCAAACAGACTACTAGAGTTTAGCAACTGATAGGATGCTGATTAATAACTATCTAAAGGAATATTTGCCTTAAAATTTTAAACAGGTGCACAACAGCATGAAAAGTTCCAGACAAGAAATGATACTAAAGTTATTAGAAATCTGAAGAAAAAACATTGCCTACCATACTCACATATCCAGTTACTTCACTATAATGTAAGTCTAGCATATCACAACAAACAACCCTAAATATGCACATAAGATTCATAAGAAGCTACAATCATAATACATGATTACAACAAAATGCAAATGACAGAGTTGTGTTACCTGTGAAATTAAATGATCGGCCAACCTACAATTCTGCACACTTGCACAAGCATGTAGCACATCATTGAAGGACCACCGCAAGATCTTTATGGTGGGACGACTCATTTGCTTTTCCAGCATGTTGATTCCAAGACTCCTAACTTGTTTCCTTCCAATGTTAAAAGCAGTGCGATGCATACCATCATTTGTGTGAATGTCCATTTTCGTAAAGTTTCCAAGGACAGAAGGTAGAGAACTTGCATTCTCCATGCTACATCTGTCCAAACCCAAGTCATTGTTGTAAGGAATAGGAATGTCCAATCTTAAATTGCGCAATCTTCCTTCATCAGTTTTAGAGATGAAAAAGTCTCCCCGGAAAGCCAAACCCACCATATGTTGTAAGGTTACATATGCCGATTCCAAATCTCCCAACCTCGTAAATGACCATATAAACTTTCGAAGAGAAATAATGCTGAGACTGTAGTGTTTGACAAACTCCTTCCAAATTTCATGGACTGCCAACAGATTTTGCTGCAAAACTGCAAGCTGAAGCAATACTTTTAGAGCAACAATCAGTTGATTAAAAATTGGGTTTATAACTTAGACCCTTCCCTATATGCCATACCTAACGCAAACCAAGGTGTATCTATAATGCAACCTACCCCCGGGGGTGTAACTGGCTCACTCTCAATTTTTTTTTTTTTAAGATTATTCATCTAGAGTTTATTATGCTCACCCTATCACTTTCTTGTTTCAATAATTCTTTCTGATAATAATAACCGCGATTGGTGGTCAGTAATCACATTTTAGCATTTTCAGTGTGTTATGGCTTCTACAAATTGACCTTGATTTGCATATTCACGGGTTTTTTCTCACAAATTGACCTTCTGCAATTGTTAGTTTCTATTTTTCTACAACAGTTGACTGATGTGTTTCAACTGGATTTTGACGGTGCTACACTTCTTGAATCTTTAATTTGACTTACTGTCTTTGCTATTTTATATCTTAATTATGATGTTTGGAACTACAAAATCAAATTATGAAGAATTGACTGTGTAACCAAATTATTGATCAATGGATGATAAATTCTTGATAGAAGTAATAAGAAATTATCATGCAATGTTTTCGATAAATGAAAACTAGCCTGGGTTAGTTAGCCCCAATTTTTTTTTTGTAAAGGACTGTAAGTAATCTCTTTATTGTTGTTTTTTGTTTGTATACACCATGTTTGTCAATTTTTGGCTCTACTAAGTTTAACGAATTTTCATGTCTCAAATTTTGATGTAATAAATATATCACGTGGAAACAAATCTATGCCCATATTGGAAACCAAGTAACTCAAGAGAAAGACCAAATCAATAAACATTCATGCTAAATGTATACATTCCCATCTCCCTCTCTCACTGTTCTCACAATTCTCCTCGCAATGAAACCATTACAAAATCACAACTATAAGATGGATTTTTGCCATCTAGTAGAACTTGAAGAGAATTACAATGATACAATTTACACACCTTGAGAAGCTCGGCATACGTTACTTCGTTCTTCCCCACCATTTGGAGTTCCATCAAATCCAAACATTCATTAGCATAATTTATACTATTCATTCGAGCACAAGCGCCTAACAAGTTATTGTACATAGCCAAAACAGGATAGATATCAGGTTTTTCTCCAACAATACTCATCGAAGTGAATGCCTGAACAGAGTAGACCAAAAGACAAAAAAAAAAAAAAATCAAAACATTTTAACCAGATCGGGAGCTGGAATAAGTAATGGAAGGAGCAGCAACAAAAAATATTTGATGGTAATTCCAAACTAATGACAAGACCCTACCTTTAATTAGATACTATTCGACTACCGGTTGCAATCAAACCATTTCCAACAGTGCAATGAACAAGAAACAAGGAATTTAGTGTGTGCTTAAGCAAATCAACCAGATATTTTCTGAAACCACAAGCGTTGTGGGCCAGAGGGTACCTAATGCTAATGGGTCACTCAATTTCAATGTGAGGGGCTCAAATCCCCTGGTTGCTGATCAATATCATTAAATTTTCAGGAATCCATAATGAAAAGTAATGCAAAATCACCAACAAACTACTTAAATAACAGAAAGCCAATAAGCACTAAGAAAATGACCAATATAACTACCATCAACATAAGGCACACATGTCAATACCTCCTTCAGGTAACCTCCTTTACATAGAGCTCGGATGATAAGAAAATAGCATCGGCCATTCATTTCAATATCGTTTTCCTCCATAGCTCTCCAAGTCTCCATGACAAACTGAATGCCAAAAAGGATCATCTTAACTATTCTATCCAACAACACCCACATACACACTTGGGATCAATGTCAAATCTTCACATAGTACTTGTAAGGATAGTGATTACAGCATAAAATGTAAGGGTAGTTATTACAGCATAAAACAGTTGTTTAACAACAATTCTGGTGTAATAGCAATGTGTCTTGTGTGTCAGAAGGAAAAAAAAAAGGGGGGGGGGGGGGGGGG